GTTTTCAAAAGTCACCTGACCGAGCTCCCTGCTGGGACGCACTTTAAAATGACTCCACTTTTGTACAGCAGTAACTGGAAAAAAATACACAAGGTAAGGAAGGGGCTTTGCTTACAACCCAATTCCAATTTCCCTTATATCCAAGTGTCCTTAATGCAGCACAGTGCCCAAGTGACCTCGGGAAATCCTTCCTAACACTTTGCTAGTCTCACTACTGTGGATCCTTATTATTATTCTGTCTTACCTTACAAGACTAGTGTGACAGACACCGCAATGATTTCAAGTTCTAAAACATTCCATTTAAAAGCACAGAGAATGGCTCATTTCTATCCTTTCTGAAGGGATTTTGTCACAACTGTTTCAGAAAAAAAACCATCTATGATCTAGATTTGATTTTGAAATTATAGTCTTCTATTTCTTCTTTACTTTGGAATGTAAAAGAATGCATTCTAAAGCTAAGAGCGACCTACACCATAAAACAGGCATGGACAAATTTGGGCCCTCCAGGTGTTTTGGATTCCAACTCCCACCATTCCTAACAGCCTCAGGCCCCTTCCTTTTTCCCCTCAGCTACTTAGGAATGGTGGGAGTTGAAGTCCAGAGGTAAGACCAAGAGCAGGGCCTCCCCAGAAGATCTTAATCTCCAAGGTGGATCATAGAGGAGATACGTTCAGACAGGTAAACTGGGCAGGAACCATTTCAGGCTTTACAGGCAGAGGCGGCCCTAGGTAATTTTCAATGGTAAGCAAACAGTATTCTGCCCCCCCCCCCCACCAACCAATAACTGATATATATTTTCTGTTCATCATGGGAGTTCTGTGTGCTATATTTGGTTCAATTCCATCATTGGTGGAGTTCAGAATGCTCTTTGATTGTAGGTGAACTATACATCCCAGTAACTACAGCTTGCATATGTCAAGGTCTATTTTCCCGCAAGAGGGCCTCAAAAGCGCCCCTGGGCCAAAGCAACTATACTGCAAATGCTTACTTTGCGTAATGGGTTGAGCTGCCCCTGTTTACAGGCCAAAGCCAGCACTTTGAACTGTGCTTGGTAGCAGACTGGCAGCCAGTGGAGTCTGCATAACAGGGGGTTGTGTGCTCCCTGTACGCTGCTCTGGTGAGCAGTCTGGCTGCCACTTGTTGGACCAACTGGAGCTTCCGAATAGTCTTCAAACCCCACGTAGAGCGTGTTGCACTAATCTATATGGGATAACCCTTGTAATGATGATAATAACAGCAATAATAATAATAATAATAATAATAATAATAATAATAATAAATTTATGTACCGCTCCGTTCTCTCTCCCCTAGGGGACTAAGGGCTGTTTCCACGTAGGCAAAATAACACAGAAAACATATAGAGTAACCATTTAAAACATAGGCATAAAATTATTAACACAAACATATTCATTAAAACCAGTTCCAACACTATTCTGTCAAGCAAAATTCACTACCAAGGGACAGAATTTCAAAAAGTTTGTGAGGGCTGGGCTGAGGCTAGTGTAGAGAAAACATAGGGCCGGGGAAATGGGTAAAATGCAAGGAAAGGTCCCAACTAATGGCCATAGTGGGGCCTGGGGCTACTTGTTTCCAGGACCTGCTAAAGAACTATAAAAAAGGTCTGGGCCAGAACAAGTCCCGCGAGATGACAGAGGACCAGGGGAGTGGGTGAAGTGCAAGGCTGAGTCCTAACTGAGGGCCTGGGGGCTGGGGATTGAGATTAGTTGTTTTCAAAGGCCCAATGAAACCATCAAGTCTTCAGCTTCTTGCAAAAAGAAGAGAGTGATGGGGCCTGTCTTATCTCTCTGGGGAGGGTGTTCCAGAGGCGGGAGGCCACCACCATGAAGGCCCTCTCCCTTATCCCCACCAACCGGGCTTGAGACGGTGGTGGGAGTGAGAGGAGGGCCTCCCCAGTAGATCTAAGAATCCATGCTGGTTCACAGAGGGAGATGCAATTGCGGAGATAGGCAGGGCCTGAACCGTTTAAGGCTTTATAGGTCATAACCTACACCTTAAATTTGGCTCACCAACTTATCGACAGCCAGTGGAGCTGTTTTAGTAGGGGTGTTGTGCACTCCCTATAATTTGCTCCAGTTAGAAGCCTGGTTGCCGCCCATTATAGCAGATGAAATTTCCAGGCTGTCTTCAAAGGCAGCCCCACGTAGAGTGCATTGCAGTAATCCAGTCTGAATGTAACCAAGATGTGGACCAGCCTGGCCAAGTCAGACTTCACGAGGTATGGTCATAGCTATTGCACCAGTTTTAACTGTGCAAAGGCCCTCCTGGCCACAGCAGGCACATTATTGTATTACTAAGGAGAGTTGCAGTTTGACAATCTGTACCTTTACCTGTTCTGCCCAAGATTGCTGGTGCTTTACCAAACTACAACTCCTAGGATTCCATGCAGCCCCACGTAGAGCGCATTGCAGTAATCCAGTCTGCATGTAACCAAGGTGTGGATCACCCTGGCCAAGTCAGACTTCACGAGGTATGGTCATCGCTGGTGGACAAGTTTGAGTTGTGCAAAGGCCCTCCCAGCCACACCTTAGCATCAAGCGACAGCACTGAATACAGGAGGACCCCCAAGCTACAGACCTGTGCCCTCAGGGGGAGTGTAACCCCTTTGAGCACAGGTTGCCACCCAATACCCCGGTCGGCCCCATGACTGACCAGGAGGATCTCTGTCTTGTCTGGATTAAGCTTCAACCTGTTAGCCCTCATCCAGTCCATCACAGCTGTCAGACACTGGTTCCAAATTCTGGGAGTTTTCCTTGGAATTCAGTGGAAATGAGTAGTAGAGTTGGGTGTCATCTGCGTACAGACGACACCCAACTCCAAAACTCAGGATAACCTCACCCAATGGTTTCATGTAGATACTGAAAAGCATGGGGCATAGGATGGAAACTTGCAGTGTCAGACTTCGAGAGGAATGGTTGTAGCTGGTGCACAAGTTTTAACTGTGCAAAGGCCCTCCCAGCCACTGCGAACACCTTGTTGTTGTTCATTCATTCAGTCATTTCCAACTCTTCGTGACTTTTTGGACCAGTCCACGCCAGAGCTCCCTGTCGGCTGTCACCACCCCCAGCTCCTTCAAGGTCAATCCAGTCACTTCAAGGATACCATCCATCCATCTTGCCCTTGGTCAGCCCCTCTTCCTTTTTCCTTCCATTTTTCCCAGCATCTTCTCATGATGTGGCCAAAGTACTTCATCTTGGTCTTCAATATCCTTCCCTCCAATGAGCAGTCAGGCTTTATTTCCTGAAGTATGAACTGGTTGGATCTTCTTGCTGTCCAAGGCACTCTCAGAACTTTCCTCCAGCACCACAGTTCAAAAGCATCTATCTTCCTTCGCTCATTCTTCCTTATAGTCCAGCTTTCACAACCATAGGTGACTATGGAGAATACCATTGCTTTTACTATGTGGATCTTTGTTGCCAGTGTGATGTCTCTACTCTTCACTATTTTATCAAGATTGGTCATTGCTCTCCTCCCAAGAAGTAAGCATCTCCTGATTTCCTGCATGCAGTCTGCGTCTGCAGTAATCTTTGCACCTAGAAATACGAAGTCTGTCACTGCCTCCACGTTTTCTCCCTCTATCTCCCAGTTGTCAGTCATTCTTGTTGCCATAATCTTGGTTTTTTTATGTTTAACTGCAACCCAGCTTTTGCACTTTCTTCTTTCACCTTGATTAGAAGGCTCCTCAGATCCTCCTGGCTTTCGGCCATCAAAGTGGTGTCATCTGCATATCTGAGATGTTAATGTTTCTTCCAGCAATTTTCACCCCAGCCTTGCATTCCTCAAGCCCCGCAAATCGCATGTTGTGTTCTGCATACAAGTTGAATAGATTGGGGGAGAGTGTTATTTATTATTTACTTCATTTATATACCACTTTTCTCAGCCCTCAGGTGACTCAAAGCGGTTAACAACAGCAAAATTCAATGCAAAACATCATAAAACGATTATGGGACAGTTAAGGAGATATGATAGCCATGAATAAATATGTGAGAGGAAGCCACAGGGAGAAGGGAGCAAGCTTGTTTTCTGCTTCCTTGAAGACTAGGACGTGGAACAATGGCTTCAAACTACAAGAGAGGCGATTCCATCTGAACATGAGGAAGAACTTCCTGACTGTGAGAGCCGTTCAGCAGTGGAACTCTCTGCCCCGGAGTGTGGTGGAGGCTCCTTCTTTGGAAGCTTTTAAACAGAGGCTGGATGGCCATCTGTCAGGAGTGATTTGAATGCAATATTCCTGCTTCTTGGCAGGGGGTTGGACTGGATGGCCCATGAGGTCTCTTCCAAGTCTTTGATTCTATGACTCTATGAAAACAATAGCATCCTTTGGGCCTCCAGGTGTTTTGGACTTCAGCTCCCAAAATGGCAAGATGACTGGGATTTCTGGGAGTTTGTCCAAAACACCTGGAAGCCCAAAGACTGGTATATACTCAGTGGCTTTACAAATGTAAGGTGCCAGTAGACGGTAGAAGATTCTAATAAAATAGGGGCGAGATGTTTGCTGGATTGCAGTTTCCATTATTTGCCCTGTTTGATTTCACTGCCTAAGGATTATGGGACTTGTGGTGAAATAATCGAGATGGAAACACATGTTCTCCATGCTTGGCATAGGCCATGCATGATTACCTTCATCTCCTCTGCTCTGGCCACCAAGTTTAAGCCTAACTAATTAATTTTGAGCTCTCCCATGAATACCTTAGTGTTGACAATCTGTATCTTTACCTGCCCAAGAGTGCTGGTGCTTCTTCACCAGACTACCATTCCTGGGATTGCATTAGCGTTGCGCCCTGGCAGTGAGAGTGGTGCCAAGAAGAGGGCCTTCATTCGGCGGGGTAGATGCGCCCTTGGCAGAGGCCTGCCTGTGTGTGCGCGCGCGTTTCTTTTGGGTGGTGTCATTCCGTCAACTCGTTTACACACACACACACACTCCCTCTCTCTCTTGACTCTCTCTCTCTCTCTCTCTCTCTCTCTCTTTCGCTCGGCTGCCAAGGAAAAGAGGAGGAGGAGGAGGCGGCGCGATTGGCTGCCGTTTGACCCAGCGCTGGGACTTGGGCGCACAAAACTCCCTCCTGGCGCTCAGCCTCTTCACTCCAGGCAGAAGGAGGAGGCGAGGAACCGGCCCGGGGAACGTGCGTGGCTCTTGCTGCTGGGGGAGACCCCGACTCGCCTTGACCCACCCAGCGCCGCCCCACGCTTTGCCTCCCCTTGCCTTTGCGCTGCCAACCCAGCAAGGCTTCCTCCTTGCGCGCATCGTTCTCCGTCCCCTTTCCTGCTCCGAGGAATCCCATTTCCGACCAACTACTTCTGTCCCTGCAGCGCGCATCTCTCTCTTTCCCTTTCCTCCATTCAGAAGACTGAAAAAACCCCTTTGTAGCCTTGTTTCCCGACCTGTTTTTCCTTAAGCGCCCACCTGCCGGCTTTGGAGAGGTTTTGGAGAGGTCGGGCTCCTCTTTCCGTCTCTTGTCGCTGCCCGTGCTGAGCTCCAGTCGTCCACGCGCGGAAGAAGAGGCAAACGAGGAGATTGTGGGTCTCTTTTTCTGCCGGGGAAGGTGGGAAGAGGAGCGGCATGGCGGGCACTCCCCGTGCCCTTCTCCTGCTGGGTCTCTTCCTGGGATGGAGCTCGGTGGGGGCGCCCGGGGACGGCGATGGAAGGAGCCCACGAAGGAGCCCACGGGACCCGGTCTCGGCGCACATGCTCCGGCTTTACGACCGGTACAGCAGCAGCAGCAGTAACGGAGCCCGGCCCGCCCCGGCCTCGCCTTCGCTGCCCCTCCGAGAAGGCAACACGGTGCGCAGCTTCCGAGCGCAGGCGACAGGTGAGCAGGGCGAAATATACCTGCAGGTGCCCCTCGTCCTTGGCCAAGCGCTCTCTCTCCCTGACCTGGACCCATGTAGAGAAGCCTAGGGTTGCTTGCTATGGGTTTTTCCTGCTGTATGGCCATATCCTAGAAGCATTCTCTCCTGACGTTTCGCCCACATCTATGGCAGGCATCCTCAGAGGTTGAGGGGGTCAAGCCTCACTTGCCTATGTGTTTTCGAAGGCTTTCATGGCCGGAATCACTGGGTTGTTGTGAGTTTTCTGGGCTGAATGGCCATGTCCCAGAAGCATTCTCTCCTGACGTTTCGCCCACATCTATGGTAGGCAACCTCAGAAGTTGAGGGATCAAGCCTCACTTGCCTATGTGCGTTTAAAGTCTTTCATGGCTGGGATAACTGGGTTGTGAGTTTTCCAGGCTGTATGGACATGTTCCAGAAGCATTCTCTCCTGAGGTTGCCTGCCACATCTATGGCAGGCAACCTCAGAAGTTGAGGGATCAAGCCTCACTTGCCTATGTGTTTTTGAAGGCTTTCATGGCCAGAATAACTGGATTTTTGTGAGTTTTCTGGGCTGAATGGCCATTTCTCAGAAGCATTCTCTCCTGACGTTTCGCCCACATCTATGGTAGGCAACCTCAGAAGTTGAGGGATCAAGCCTCACTTGCCTATGTATTGTCAAAGGCTTTCATGGCCAGAATCACTGGGTTGTTGTGAGTTTTCCAGGCTGTATGGCCACGTTCCAGAAGCATTCTCTCCTGACATTTTGCCTGCATCTATGGCAGGCATCCTCAGAGGTTGTGAGACCTCACAACCTCTGAGGATGCTTGCCATAGACGGGGTGAAAAGTCAGGAGAGATTGCTTCTGCAATGCTTCTGGAACATGGTCATACAGCCCGGAAAACTCACAACAACCCACTCACCTAGTTTCCAATAGACCTCACAACCTCTGAGCATTCCTGCCATAGATGTGGGCAAAATGTCAGGAGGGAATGCTTCTGAAACATGGCCACACAGACTGGAAAACTCACAACAACCAACTCACTTGCCTAGTTTCTAATAGACCTCTCAACTTCTCAGGATACCTGTCATAGATGTGGGCAAAATGTCAGGAGGGAATGTTTCTGAAACATGGCCACACAGCCTGGAAAACTCACAGCAACCCACTCACTTGCCTAGTTTCCAACAGACCCCTCAACCTCTGAGGATGCCTGCCATAGATATGGGCAAAAAGTCAGGAGAGAATGCTTGTGGAATGTGGCCACACAGCCCAGAAAACTCACAGCAATCCAGTCATTCTAGCTCTTTTTTTCCTGTGTCAGGAGCGACTTGAGAAACTGCAAATTCCTTCTGATGTTAGATAATTGGCCGTCTACAAGGATGTTGCCCAAGGGACACCCGGATGTTTTACCATCCTTTTGGGAGGCTTCTGTCATGTCCCCACATGGGGGAGCTGGAGCTGACAGGTGGGAGCTCATCCAAACTCTCCCCGGATTCGAACCTCTGACCTGTTCGTCTCTAGTCCTGCCGGCACAAGGGTTTAACCTATTGCGCTATTCCAACCGTAAAAGCCTTCAACAACACCCTAGGAGATGCAGTTTTGGCCAGAAGCACATCTTCTTCACTCTAGAAGGGATGGAGACAGATGTCATCTTGACTGCCCTGACCCAATGCTAGGGAACCCTAGAAGTTGTATCTTCACAAAGGTGCATCTACATCAGACATGGGAAAACTTCGGCCTTCCCTCCAGGTGTTTTTGGATTTCAACTCCCACAATTCCTAAGAGCCGATAGGGATTACTAGACTCCTAGAGTTGGAAGAGACCCCAAGGGCCATTCAGTCCAATTCTGCCATGCAGGAATACACAATCAAAGCCCTCCCAACAGATGGCAATCTGGAGAACCTCTCAAGAGTCAACTTTGAATGAAGGATATTCAAAGCCAGCATATTGTAAAATTGGAGTCCCTGGTGGTGCAATGGGTTAAACCAGGCATGGGCAAACTCTGGCTCTCCGGGTGCTTTGGACTTCCACTCCCATAATTCCTAACAGCCTACTGGCTATTAGGAATTGTGGGAGTTGAAGTACAAAACACCTGGAGGGAGGCCCTAAGTTGGCAGGCCTGGGTTAAACCCTTGTGCCGGCTGAACTGCTGAAAGAAAGGTTGGTGGTTTGAATCTGGGGAACATGGTGAGCTCCTATCTGTCAGCTCCAGCTTCTCATGTGGGGAAATGAGGGAAGCCTCTCACAGGATGGTAAAACATCTAGGTGTCCCTTGGGCAACGTCCTTGCAGATGGCCAATTCTTTGACACCAGAAGCGACCTGCAGTTTTGGAAAAAAATAGGTAAAATTAATGGAGCTCAGCACAACTTGAACTTCCCTGCTATGGAATCCTGGGGTTTGTAGCTTGATGCCTTTAGCTTTCTCTGCCACTGAGTGCTGGTGCCTCAGTAAACTACAACTCCCAAGATTCCACAGCATTGAGCCATGGATGTTCAAGTGGTGCCAAACTACATTCATTCTACAGTGTAGATACAGCCCCCAAAGTCTCACTGCTTGGGAATTGCCTGTTTGCAACAAAAGAAATTCTCCAGTGGCAAATCTACTCTGTAGAATTCATGCAGTGCAACACCACTTCAACCACCAAGGCTCAAGGCTATAGAATCCTAGGAGTTGTAGTTTGGGGAGGCATGAGCACTCTGATAGAAAAAGGTAAAGATTGTAAAACTGCAACTCCCAGAAGTTCATAGCATTGAGCCATGACAGTATAGATGCATCCCAAGTAGGATTCCCTTGAGAGTGTAGGAGAGCATCTACACTGTAGTATTAATGCCATTTTGTCAACATTCTAGTGTGAATTATAATTCAAGATGGGGTTGGGGAATGAAGAAATGAGATTGTGCAGATAGGACCAGAACCAATCCTTACTAGAAGATGGCAATTCAGGATAGGAAACAAGTTTAGCCTCCGTTCCCATATCAATCGTCAATACTGGCAGTTTTGCAAAATATAGGTAAACAGGTGTCACCCCCTCCTATCGGGATGTGTGTTCTGGTGTACTGTTTGGATAGTAGCAAAAGCTTTGTTCTACTCTGACTATGGGTGTTTCTACACTGTAGAACTAACGCAATTCAACACCAAATTAACTGCCATGGCTCAAGGCTATAAGATCATGGAATTTGTAGTTTAGGGAGGTACCAGTCCTCTTTAAGCAAAGGCTGAATTTTTTGAAACCCTGAGGTCTGTGATGGAGAAGGATAAATATTTCACAAAACTTCAAATTCCAGATTTGCATAGCAGTTAAAGGCATGTCAAAATCCTATAACTCTGCAGTGTAGATACAGCCTTCGACCCGCATGTGTGTGTGTGCATGTGTGTGTGTGTACAGGTTGAGGCTCCCTTATCCAGAATTCCAAATCTCCGAAACTTTTGCTGCCAGATGGCTGCTTTCGCCTTCCAGGCAGCTGTGTTGCTCCTGCTTGTTCATCTCTCAGATCCGCCGTTTCTCTCCGCTTGAGAGAGTCTGAAGATCTAAGAGACAAACAAGCAAGAGCCACGCAACCCTAGCCACGAAAATATCTTAGATATCTCATCATCTGTAGGCAAATACAGGTATTCCAAAATTCCCTGCAAAAAAAAACAACATCCCAAATACAGAATACTTCTAGTGGTAAGCATTTTGGATAAGGATGCCCAATCTCTATTAGTGTCCCTCTTGGACTGGTGTGGGAAAGGATAATGCACGTGGTGACACATAGGTTGTGAAATAGACTTATCTTTGCAGGACACATATTCACCATCTCCCCTGCTTGCACACTGACCCAGTACCGGCTCTGGACTGGGTTGCCAACATTGCACAGATGACTTTTGTTGTATGCAGGACAATGGAGCACCTATTCTAGCTTATCTTAAGTTCTTGACTGCTCAGCATCAGGTGGAAATCAGGTCTCTGTGCTGAGGAAGGTTTTGGGGATGTGTGCCCATTATTTTGTCAAAATGTGTTCCTTCCAAGCTGTGGGAAAAACTCTGTATGGTAGTATCAAGGAACAGGTTTAGGAGTTAGGTGTGTTTAACTTGGAGAAGATAAAGTTGAGATGGGACATGAGAACTATGTTTAAATTTTTGAAAGGACAAACATATTGAAGAGGAGGACTTTCCTGGTGCTCTAGAGACTAGGACATGGAGCAATGGAGTCAAACTGTAGGAAAAGAGATTCCACATAAACATTAGGAAGAAGCTGTTAGAGCTGTTCAATAGTAAAATATGCTGTCTTGGCTTATGGTGAAGTCTCTGGAGGTTTCTGAGGCAAGATAGACATCTATCGGGAATGATTTCATTTTATATTCCTGCATGGTTAAACTGGATGGCCCTTGTGGTCTCTTCCAATTCTATGAAAACTGGTGTTTTATTAGCTAAGGAGACCTTGGTGGCGAAAAGGGTTTAACCCTTGTGCCAACAGGATGGAAGACTGACAGGTTGGAAGTCCGAATCTGGGGAGAGCACGGATGAGCTCCCTTTGTCAGCTCCAGCTCCTCATGCAGGGATATGAGAGAAGCCTCTCACAAGGACGGTGAAACATCAAAATATCCGGGCATCCCCTAGACATCATCCTTGCAGACGGCCAACTCTCTCACACGGGAAGTGACTTGCAGTTTCTCAAGTTGCTCCTGACATGAGAAAAAAAATAGCAGAGGGTATCCTATATCTTGTCTCCTAAGAAACTGGATAGTATGAAAAGAAATGGCAACCAGTCTACCGTATGTGAGCTTTGGGGGAGAGAAAGCTGTGTTCCTGCAGAGGTAGAATGTCCAAGAGCAAAAGGTGGAGGAGTGCCATGTGTAAACACTTCTTGTTTACACAGATAGTTTGAGGTTTCCTTCCCTCGCATTCCCCCCTTCTTTCCCTCTCCCCTTCTGGGGATTTTCCAAAGCTGTCTGTCCTCTTGGAGAGATCTTCTAGCTTAGTTTTGTCCCTTTAAAAAAAATCACACCCCGCTGAGTAAC